TTACTATAATATCTGGCTGCCTGGTTCTAAGATTACAGATTATATGCAAAGCATTAAAGTAGGGCTTTTACATGTGCATGGAAAACTTTAATAATCAGACCAAGAATACAGTACATGAAATTGCTTTTCAAGATGCTATTTTTATCAGGTGCATTTGAACCTGGGGGGCATGACTGAAGAGATGCTCTTATGAAATCTCTGGAGAATTTCAGTAGGACATTAATTTATCAGTGCTTCTGTTACATTGTAATAAACTATGCTGGAGTGGGTGGATATAATGAATTTAGATGATAGACAGATCTGTTAGTATAATTGTTCATATGTTATATCAGATTTTTAAATTTAGAATTATTTGCTTCTGCTTTATGTCTCCAACTATACTTTTTTATTGTTCTTTATATACACACATAACTGACAGATTTTCAGAAGTACAATATATTTAAAGGGTGATTTATTTTTTTAAATAAAACTTAAATTCCTTAGAGGGATCAGTATCATTGAGTTTGGAAATATATATTAGTACATGTTAGAATATTCTTTGCATAATAACAGCTGGTCTCTGCTATGAATTTCACAGCATTCTACTTTAAAAGTCATTGCTTACCTCTTTTTAATCAGTATTTGTTTGCTAAGTGTTTAAACTTCAGTAACTTTGAAACTAATTTAAAAGCAATGTATATATTTAATCACAATGTGAAAGATGAAGGTACAACAAAAGAAATGCATTTTTAAAAAGCAGCCTCATAATATTTTCTTGCTTTTAAATAAGAAAGGAGAGACTTTGAGATAGATGACAGAATTTAAAACACTTAGAAGATCAGATTTTAGGAAATGTGTGTGTATAATTCAAATATGACACAGGGATGGAACAAGTTTTAAAAAGTATGATAAAGTGGATGCAAAACTTCAAATAAATGATTATAGTACAACAATGGAGAGAGCTATGGAAAAAACAATAAAACCTACAAATTATTATTCCTTTAATTTTAAGGGATTATTTAATTAATGTAAAGTGTTTTTTTAGCTAATATATATGTTGATAATTACCAAATCATATAACAATAAATGTTAGAAATGCCATAAAAAGAAGGAACATTTTATTGTTTTTTTTTTGTAAAAAAAATCCCTCTTTTGAAATGTGTCTTGTTATTGTCATTTACTCTCTGCATACAATTCCATGTAGATTAAGTAGAAGGAACTGGTTACACTTTTTCAAACTAATATAGTTTATTAGAAGGCCTATGTGCAGTGATGAAAAAATGCATGCCTTTTAATAAAATGTGTTAGTCTGAAAGAATCCTACCAGGCTCTTCCTCATTCAGAGATTGTAATTTACCTTCAGGTTAATAGTTCCTTGCCCATAATATAATAATACTTAAACCAAGCACAAAGGGATATCTCATTAATCTATATTTTCTTACAGAATTAAATAGTTAGAATAACTGCATGGCTGGAGCCAAAGCAACCAATCCACTTACTTTCTGTTTCTTGTTAACATCTTGTGGAAGAATGCATGTGTTCTTTTTCAGTAAACAATGTGGAGAAAGCTAGAGAAGATGTAGGAGTTCTGTTTTCAGTACCAGTACCTGGTACTTGTGTATAACTAAAATCTGTGAAGTCTAAACAGGTGATTTAAGGGTACAGACACAGAACAGAAGGAGGAAATACATATTTTCTCCCTCTTAAGCACAAATAGTACATAGACTGTGCTAAAAAAAGATCCTCTTTCATCACATTTTGAAATACATACACGTTCATTTTTAGAATCAATTATCAAAAATAAAAGATAATTAGGTTTGGGCTCCTAGCAATGAAACAGGAACCAGCTGCCTATCCAACCATTTATCAGAAATATTTGGAATACATAATGATAAAGTAAAATAAATCTATCATTTAACAAATATTTTTATCAGTTTTTAAGCTATATGTCCTTTCTGCTCTCTACAATATAGATAGAATTAGAACTTTTCTTTAGAGGCTATTCCAGAGGTGGTATTCAGCAGGTTCTGACCATTTCTGGAGAACCAGTAGCGGAAATTTTGAGTAGTTTGGAGAACCGGTAAATACCACCACTGACTGACCCCGCCCCCATCTATTCTCTGCTTCCCGAATCCCAGCTGATCAGGATGAAATGGAGATTTTGCAGTATCCTTCCCCTGGAGTGGGGTGGGAATGGAGATTTTACAGTATCCTTCCGCTGCCACGCCAACCAAGCCACGCCTGGTAGTAATTAATTTTGAATACCACCACTGGACTATTCCTATAAATGATTGTGCTTGTGTGAATGTGTGTGTGTATGCATGCACATGCGCCTATTTGTTATTTCTAATCTCCAGTGTGGAAGGGCATTTTGAAAAAAAACATTTTCCCTTTTTATTTTGTATCATTCTTATAAGATAAATGGCGCCCACTGAGTCCCTTGTTTCTATACAGGTCTGACAAACAGTTGGGTTTGTTGAGGTCCTGTCCTAGTGCTTACAGGAGTGCTTTCCAATTTTTTTTCCTTCAGACAGCCAGTTTGGTCTGCTAGTTAAGGCTTCAGGCTAGAAACCAGGAGACTGGGAGTTCTAGTCCAATCTTAGGCATGAAAGCCAGCTGGGTGAGTACTCAGCCCAACTCATCACATAGGGTTGTTGTTGTGGGGATAATAGGAAGAGGAAGGAGTATTATATATGTTTGCCACCTTGAGTTAAAGTAATTAAGGTAGGATAAAAAAAAGAATCTAATAAATAAAATATACCCCAAACCATTTATCAGAAAGTCCTTTTTACCCAATATAGGTAAAAACCTTTTAAGCCAATTTAAATGTTCCAGTTGTGGTTTATATGTCACTACCAAAAGATAAAGTACTTTTACCCAATTTTGGGTAATTTACCAAGATTTGGGAAACAAACATTACAAGAGTTCTTTGTTTACTACTTTCTAGACCAGGACTTTTTTATAGCAACTAGAATGTAGAAATATGTAAATGAAGGCTAAATCATCCAGACCAAAAGTTATCTTAAAATGTTAAATCATGGCAAATGGACCAAAGTTTATTAAAACTGAGACGTTTTATTACACATCCAAGTAACTTCTTCAGTCGAAATTGGAATTTGGATAGGCAGAAAGTGTCAGAGAGTTATTGGAAAGAGCCAGCTCTTACCATACAGACTGCAGAGGGGATCTATATGGAACCCTGAAACCCTCTTCCAACAAATGAAGAAGAACTCTCCACAATGTGTTCCTTGTCCTGAAGCTATAACTGTATGTTGGGGCTCTTGCTTCTAATCTACAGTGAAATAAGTCAAGCAGGGGTCAGAGGCTTTTCTCTAGCAATCTTAGTTCTTTTACTCTGCTCTTGCCATCCTGTCAGTCCTACAACACAAACCAAAATGGAAGGAAGGTTGACAGCAGCTAGAGGGAGGGGTGTGGATCTACAACAGCCAAAAGTGGCCTAAAGGAGCTAGGCCGGTGTTGGCAAACCTTTTCGGCACCGAGTGCTGAAACAGGAGCACGTGTGTGGGAGCACCGGAAACGGGAAGAGTAGCTCCCCAGTCCGCATGCATGCACCGGGAAGCTGAGCTTCTTGTTTCAGCTTGCACATACATGCTGGTCACCTGGTCTTCTGGTTTCTGGCGTGCATTCATGTGTGAAGACCAGCTGGCGGAAACCAGAAGCTCAGTTTTCCGGTGTGTGTATGCACACCAGGGAGCTGCTCTTTTGGTTTCTGGCATTCCTGCATGTGCGAGGAACCCCTAAGAGCAACAGGCAATGGCTGGCATGCCCGGAAAGATGACTGCATGCCACTTCCAGCACGCGTGCCATAGGTTCGCCATCACGGATCTAGGCAGTTCTTATCCCCTGCTGTGGTAGTCACTGAAACAACCCACAACATACTTATCGAAGGCTTATGTCTTCTATCAAAGGTGGAAAGTGCTATTTCTACATTAGATCAGGAAACAAAAAAAAAGTCAGCTGGCCTTTGATCTGAAGAGCTTCCTTACTTTCTAGAGCTAAATGGGCCTTTAATCCTGGGAATCCTGATTGCAAATCCATACAAAAATCAATACATTTTAATTTACAAGTTTAAATTTTTGTTCTGTTGCTAAGTAGATTGATTGGGTGTTAACAATTACATTACATGACTAAATATGCCCATTTTCAATAGTATATGAGAACTATACATTTTTGTTTCCTTATTTCTCTTTTATTTTTACATAAAAAAGAGAAGGTTTAGTAATGCATTTTTTAAATGGTAAAAAATTATAATTTGATGATGGTTTATATGTTCAAGGCCCTTTATGCTGTAACTGTGGGGCAGCAAAGCTGGCTGTGGAATTCTGGGAGTTGAACTCCATCCGTCTTAAGGTGCCCAAGGTTAAGAAATCCTCTCTTAAGATGTTGAATGCACCTGAAATTTGTATTTTAACATTTCTACAGCTTGAACAATAACAACACAAAAATGAACAATTGGTATTGGCTAATGTTGATCTGAACAACTGGTGCAAAAAAAAACTATGAAAATTCTATTTCTTAAAAATTGTTCTGATAGCAGTATTCTTTATTTCAGTAACAATAACTCTACAGAAAATTCTTGTGAGCAGAAATCAAAACACAGCATTTCAGGGAATTGAAAGGATTCAAAGAATTGCAAATAATAGGAGGAAGCATCTTTTGTCCTTTCATATAAAAAACAGAACTCCATAACTGCATAGATAGAATCCTCTATGTTTTAATAGATTGTATCACATTAAAATTTAAAATTAATTCTAAAATTTATTGTTTATAAATATTTATGACAAAATAGTGAATTTATATATTCAGCATGTGATGCACATTTTCGTTCCAAATATTCTTTCTTATTCTTCAGCATTTCTCTAGTTTCTGAATAAAAATTCTGATATATTTGTTTTGAGGTTATTGTACTACAGTAGTGTCATTTATTTAGAGTGAGTGACTGACTAATCAAGCATGCAATTTCAATCAATGTAGATTTTAAAATTTCTTTTTCCTTTTAGCTGTCTCTGTAATGAGGTACAGTGCTTCATCATTTGGATTTGCAGTAAGTATTCTCATAACTGAAATGTACATTTGCTTTTTCTGATCGAATCCACCCATTAGTTTCATCCACAGTTGCCACAAATACTATCAATTTCACACAAAGAAATTTTAAGAAAGAGAGGAACCATAAGTAAAGTTAAACAATCAGACCAGAAGACTAATTGGATTTTAGGTAGGATTTCTGATTTGAATTTCACAGAAGAATTAGAAATGGGTCTAAAGCATGCTTCCAGGATTGTCCACTGTTTCCTGTATTAGCTAGCATAACTCAAGCACGTTTCAACAGAGGCTTAGTCCAATTTGTGGAGGCTTGTTTTATCAATAATGTTAAGCAAGAGCTAACTTCAGGTTAAGTCTCAGTATCAGGAGATTAATCAGCTTCATGCTGATTTGCAAGTACTGGGAGCTCTGTTAGAAGCAAAATATGGAATAGGTAGACATTTTATGGTAGTTCACTATTTGCATAGCATTAAAAAGTTCTAATACAAATTTCAGATAAACAATTCTCCTCCTCCAACCCCAAATTAGATACATTCCACCTCCATGTTATCATAATGCCATAAAGATCTGGCGTTGTACAGTGTTCAGGTCTAGGGCTGGACTGGGAGTTTAAGGCCATCCTCATCCACAGAAATTCAGTGGGTGATTTTTATACTGTCACAGCCCAATCTATTAAATTGTGTTATTTTGAGAAAATAAGGAGGGAGGGAGTGCTATGTCTGCCTCTGTAGCTGGAGGAAAGTTGGGAGATCTATCCAATAAATACACCAATCAGTTAATAAAGAAATCTTCTTTTGGTAGTTCTGTTCATGTTCATATATTCATTAAGAACTCTTTAAAAATGTTTGTTCCTCAGATCATCATATGTATTTAGTAAGGATTGTAGTTTGAACTAGTGACTGTTGTCATTCAGGAATGACAACCGAAAACAAATAATTCTGGCGGTGTTGTTCATGTGAATCCATCAGAGATAAGAGCCTGGTGGCGCAGCAGACTAATAGCCTGTTATTATCATTCAGCTGCCTGCTAGTTTGAATCTCCCCAGGCTCAAGGTTGACTCAGCCTTCCATCCTTTCTAAGGTAGGTAAATTGAGGACCCAGTTTGTGGGGGCAATAAGCTGACTGTGTATAAATATACAAAAGTATGAAGGCTATTGCTTAACGCATTGTAAGCCGCCCTGAGTCTCCGGAGAAGGGTAGCATATAAATCAAATTTTTTAAAAAAAAATATGAAGTTGGTGCTGTAATTTGCTAATTTAGAAAATTCAGTAACAATCTGCACTCTAGTTTTTATTATTTGACAGTAATGTTCATTGCTTTGCCATAAGTTTGACCTTTCTACCCTTATAGAAGAGTCTTGTTTTTAAATATGTATGTGTTTTGCAGCAGAAAAGAGGTTACACTGTACGATGGATGGGGTTTAAAATTTTAAACTGACATAATTGTATTGTCTTTTGTTTCTTTTAAAATAAAAAAAGTCAATTTTTAATGTTCCTTACTTTTTATTCCAATGATGAATGCTGCATCTATATATAGACTTGCAACACCCTTAGCAATCTTTTCATTGCAACATCTTTTGCCTTAGTTGCCCCAATTAAATTTTTTATTATCTTTTCCAGTTTGATGCTACTTTGGATGTGTTGTCTTCAGTGATAGTTCTGTGGCGTTACAGCAATGCAGCAGCAGTTCATTCGGCACACAGAGAATATATGTGAGTACTTAAAGCTATTTTTATCTCTGCTGAAGCTTTCATTAATACTTTATTTCCACTGGGCCAATTATTTTTTTCTGCCCTCATGATTTCTGGAAACCTCCTGGTGACACCATACTAAAAATCTTTTCACAGCACCACAGGAAAGCACCATATGTAATATAGCTCCTTTGAACAGCGGTTGCTGAAAACCTTGGATGCATCCTTCAGTGGGGGATGCATACATTGGTACCTGCAGCTTGAAATTCACATTGAGCAGACTGGCCCTGCTGCATTAAGTTGCACAGTGGGTGATCTCAAAGCAGGCAATCTATCAAAGCATAATTTGTGTAAAGGTGCAGCAGTAACTCATTATTTTGATTTTATCTTATTCCACTGACAGAATATGATCTATCATATTAGATTCGAAGTATAACGTTAATCATCTGCTAAGGTGCTTTTTTCCCCTGTGGACCGTTTTCCTTTAATAAAACTTTCAGCAAACTGCTATTTGACTTTTAGTATTTCACCACAAAAATGGGTGAAGGTAGGTACTTGTTTTAGGTGTATAATTACCAGGTATGTAGCTATATGGAAAATCCATGATTTCTATTCATTCATCCTGCTGAGGTTGCAATTGGTTAAGGTGTCACCCCATGCTGATCAGATTATTTGTTTGGGGCAGAAAAGATACAGGTTTTATCCTCTTATACACTTTTTTATTCATTACGAAGGAGAGTTTCCTACAAGAGGCAGTGATTGGAAGGAGAAGTAAACCAAGTGCAAGTGTAAATGTTGGGGATGTAGGGGATGTAGAAAACATGCTTGCTTCTGAATATGATTTTGGGCATGTATGCAGGAAAAATAAACACTTCCATGTTTTATGTAATGAAACAGTACCGTAGGAAGTTGCTTATAGAGGGAAAGTACCAGTAAGAAAAGATCAGAGGTTAAAATAATTGTTACAACTCTGATGTACACCTGCCTAGCAAATCTTAGGAACTGGCATGAGCAAATGAGTTCTATGGAGTATCTTCTGAAGAACCTTGTAACCTCATTGAAAATGGGAGAAAGAACTGAGTACTGTATGTAATATGCCATGGCTTTATTTATCATAATTTCACCTAGTCTAGGTTCTAGGATATCAGGGCACGAGTGCTGATCTTGAACTTCCTAGTCTATGGTTGAGTAAGTTTGATCAGAAAAGTGGCATTAGAAGTCAAACATGAATAAACAATTATACAGTCAGGGACAAACTAAATTTATACTTACAGTATATCTTTACCTCTTGCATTGCTCATTATTTTGTAAATAACAGAAACAAGGGCCCTGTGGATAGGAAAAAAGGATGGAGCCGTAATTCATTTTGCCACTGCAACATTTAGGGCAGAAAAAATACAAAGTAAATAATCTTGTGTGAAATTACTTGGAATCATTAGATAGATATAATCATGTTGCACTCCGCTATTTCATATTCAATAGCTAAGTAAATATACTGTAAATTAGAATAAACATGAATCACTAGGCTAAGCATGAATAATTCTGAATCATAGTGCTTTGATATTTTCTTGTATGTTTCTCAATTTCCTTATAGAATAGGTAGGTGAAAGATACTTCTATTTTAAATTTGCTGGGTAAAGCAATTAAAAGATAAATGATATTAAATGTTAACATAGGCATTGGTAGTAAGCCTTGTGATATTTTTATATATAAATTATTGAGTATGATTTGTGTATATATTTTATATATACATAATACTTATATACATTTATATCATTTATATTTCAGAAACAGATATAATGAAGTGCTCTATAGTATCAGCTCTTGTCACTTGCATCGAGAGTCCTATAAATAACTTTGCAAACATATTGAGTGATTCTCTTTGCTCTGCCTGGCCCTCAGCATTACGATCTGGCTGTAAAAAATTATGTCTTCCTTCTATTTCTTGTTGACCCTTGCATCATTCTGAAGTCTTTATTCTCTCAGCTAAACTCCCTTCTTCAGAAACAGAAATGCTACTTCTTTCCTTAATCATTTTGATGCATAAGAGACCGCATTTAGATGATCTTTGCCTCGCTGAATCCCCAGCCAGATTCTGTGTCTGACGTACAGGTTCCCCTCGACTTATGACCACAATTGAGCCCAGAATTGTTGTTGCTGAGGGAGACATTTGTTAAATGAATTTTGCTGCATTTTACAATTTTTCTTGCCACAGTTGTTAAGTGAATCACTGCAGTTGTTAAGTTAGTAATAGGATTGCCAAGTGAATCTGTCTTCCGCCTTGATTTTGCTTTTCAGAAGGTCACAAAAGGTGATCACATGACCCCGGGACATAAATATATGCCAGTTGCCAACTGTCTGAATTTTGTTCACATAAACAATGGTGCTGCAATGGTCATAAGTGTGAGAAACAATCATATGTCCCATTTTTCAATGTGGTTGTAAGTTCGAAAGGTCACTAAATGAATGGTTGTAAGTCGGGACTACCTGTATTCCTAATCATTCTGGTCCTTGAGTATTTAATGAAGTTCCTGAGATACAGCATGTAACACACACACACACACACACACACACACACACACACACACCCCGGACAACATCTAGATATCTACTTCCAGGTTTCTCAGCAAAGGCCATGCTGCCTGAGGAATATTATAGTTTAAGTACACATATATGGAGAACGTCAGAGTCAAGGAAGATGAATGCAAGTACATTTCTCTTGCTGATTAGATATTTCTTTCAGTGGTGAAAGAACCTATGATGAGAGCAATGTTAACTAGTTGTATTATTGATTATCATACAATTAAAGCTAGTTGAATAGGATTGGGTGCCCAATTACCCTAATAATGAATTTAGCCTCTGTTTAGTCTTCTCTTCATTTCAGGCAGACACTGAGTCCAGAAGATGTTGCAGGCACCACAAAGATAAGAGGCATTTGATCTTGCATATATTGGCTCTATTTTATAGATTGCAAAGTCTAGCTTATGTAGACTGAGACATCAATTGTCCTCAAACTACCCAATCTAGAACTGATAATTCTGCTCAGCAGTTATTTTTCTTTTTCTTCTCTTATTAATTTATACTCTATCAACTTATTTTCTAAATGCTCTATGTAACCACCCTTTTCCTTGTATTCTGTCAATACTGTTTCTTTTCTCTCCACATTTTCTTTCCTTAAGTTAGAATAAGTAGAATAAGCATGCTAGTCTATATGTTAAGCATGTGCATGTTCTAGTTTCCAGATGCGTTTTCGTAAATGTGTATGACTACTTCCCTCCTGCTATGTATATGTAAAGGAAATTGTCAATCTTTCTGAACTTTAACACCTATTAAATCTCCTACTTGAATACTGTGTGGATCTTTGTTAAGCTTATTATCCATTCTGAGACCTATCACCTTAATTATAGCTAATTTATCCCCTAATTAGCCCATCAGAAATAGCTATTCCCCAAATTAAAAAAAAAGCAATCAATAAGATATTGTTATGCATTTCAAACCTTGTCAAAATATCCTATCCATCAGATCTTAATCTACATACCTGAAATTATGTGCATAGGTGGAGAATTTCTGACAAGAGTACGCAATTATGCCTAAAACACTATGGTCACTATGTTCCCTAATGAATTTAGAAATGTAGAGGCATACTCTATGCAAAAGGATGAAGCTTTTTGAAATTCTGTTGATGTCATTTGGAATGTAAAATGCACTATTTTTAGTTCATTTAATAAAAATTAAATAACTGGTTTCCTTTTCTTTTTAAAAACTTCTTATATTAAATGAATAAAACAAGATTTGAATTTCTGACAGCTCTGTCAGACTGTAAGGTAACCACAAGCTAACAAGCCCACCCACTAGTTATATGACTGATATTGATAATCTTGTTCTATTCAGTGTAGTGTCATCACAGTTCAGTGAATATTCTAATTAACTTTGCAGAGAGCTGCTAAAATTGGTTCCAATTCCTTGCAAAACACATATTGCAAAAATACAGTGGATAACATGAGGAAGGCAACATGATCTCTATGTATTGTCACGTTCAAGTGAAAACATTTGCAGATTGTATTTGCATGCATCACTGGTTTTTTTTAATCCTTAATTCTGTTGCCACACCTTTATTGCTCTTAGAACAGATTGAGTCAAGAGTAGTAATTACCAAGGGCTTTATTATATTCCCAGTTAGACATATTGTTGTCACTACATTTTATTTGCTGAAAAATTAGGAGGTGATTAGATAGTGTTGTTTTTCAAAAACTAAATTATATCAGCAGTGCATGGTTATTTAGGTAGACCAAAGAGAAATGTTATACAATACAAGGTTTACAACAAAGCATTGCTGTATATACACTTATATAAATTGCAGAGTGGTTAATGTTATTGACCAAATGTTGGTGATAGTAAAGCCTGTGTTTGTTGTTACAGAAATGGTTAGTGTATGCCAAGAATGCAAGAGTAAAGAGTTGAAGCTATAATTTTATTACCTTTATTTTACTGTGTTGAAAAGAGTTGGAAGTTAATGCTTTCCCCCTTTTTCATCTTTATTCCACAATTCTCTCCTTCCTTCCTTTCCCTCCCCCACTTCCCTATCACATTTACTTTCAGTTACATTTTATATTTTCATTTATATATTGATAATATACATATATTGAATATATATTGAACAATAGTAAAGCCTAAGTTAATTGCTTAACGCACTGTAAGCCGCCCTGAGTCTCCGGAGAAGGGCGGCATATAAATCAAATTTAAAAAAAAAAAAAAATTGTTCATTACTCTAGAATTTTCAGCTCTATTCTTCCATCTACTACAGATAGTCCTCATCTTAAAGCCACAATTGAGCTCCAAATTTCTGTAGTTAAGTGAGACATTTGTTAAGTGAGTGTTGCTCCATTTTATGACCTTTCTTGCCAGAGTTGTTAAGTGAATCACTGCAGTTGATAAGTTAGTAACACAGTTGTTAAGTGAATCTGGATTCCTCATAGATTTTGCTTGTGAGAAGGTTGCAAAAGGTGATCACATGACCTTGG